GCTTAAACAGATCTCACCTTATTATATAGTGGCTTAATTTCAATCGGCCGAGATCTATTGCATATTGTCTAAGCCTTCGGCTCTAAATTATCAACTTGATTGACTATGATGTCAATCTAGCCCGTGACAATACCATTCGCTTCCTTTCAATGAGAGGAATCGAATGGTACAAATTTCATCCGATTCCGATCTCTGAATCATGAGATAACCTCGATTCGTCATAATACCCCAAGGCTAAAATTTTCTTATTTTTTAAAAAATATCTCAACTTTAAATATTTCGTCATGTAGTGATCAGAAACGAATAATTTGATATCAATAGATTCGGCTCGATGAGACGAATCTGATGGTACCAAAATTATTTGATTTCAATCAATGTATCTCATTATACGATCGAAAATATTTTAACTTCGTCATAATACCCATATTTTATCTTATATATTATTTTTTTTTATTTTTTAATTTTAAAAAAATTTACTTCGTTTCTCATTTTAATTATTTTAGCCTTTAAAATTCAGGTAAAGCGAATTTATACAGAGTGGTTACATCGTTGTGTCTTTAACTTGTTGATCTTGATCCACATGTAATTTGTTTTCAAGCTACATTCTCAGTAAGAATCGCCTCTCCAATAATCGTATTTTTGGATTCTTAGCATTACTTCATAGCTTCCACATTTCAAATTTGTAACTTTGTTTCTTCACAACTTTTTTTAGTAGCATAATAAGCAGAATAAGCATGCTTGATCAAAAAAATAGGTAATAATACAATATATACTTGCCAGCAAATACAGCCGCACCTAATTTTGAGTTGAGACGATGTATTAAAATCTTTAGCGTCACTCGAATTAAAGTTTGTTTTTCGCTTGAAGAACTCGTTTAACAATTGCGATTTTTTTTTGAGTTATCTCGAATTTGAAGAGTTTTTCTTCTCATTTGAAGAACTCGATACAGTATATACAGTGTTGGGCGGACCAGACCAATTTGACCATTTGACCAGACCAATTTGACCAATTTGACCGGTCCGGTTAAGGGATCTGTACTGGTCAAATTGGTCAAATAGAATATTTAAATATAATTTATTTATAATATATATATTATATTTATATAATAGGCTTGACCAATTTGACCAGTTTGACCAATTGACCAATTTGACTAGCAAATTTTTGGTTAACCACTAATTTGCCCAACACTGAGTATATAGTTGTAAACGCGTTTTTATTTATACTTGTTATCCATGTGACATTTTTATGTGTAAATCAACCAATCAATTTCATGAATTTTCAACATTACACAAGTAACCACGGGATGTGTAACTTGTTTCTATATTTAATACATAATTGACAAATTACAAAAAGATCTATACCCCTCAATATTAGTACTGAATTTATGAAATACCTAAATCTTTAGAAAACATTTTTTTAAAAAAGTTCATAATACAACAAAAATGGCAATATTCAGCGATACACTTGCACTACCTTCCGTATCTATCATGTTTTTCGTATATAATTTAGTAGGTATCTATCTATATTTTGCTGATATAAATCGAAATTATTCATTTAATTTTTCGGTTATTTTTGCAGATTCAAAATCGCCCGGTAATGGATGATGATGCGGCCGTTGAATATTTAGAAAAATTACAACGTGCAAAGGTTAGTATTTAATTTCTTTAGTTACAAGATCAAATTCCTAATTCAATTATTTTCTGAATCGATAAAAAAAAAACGATGCAAATCTAGGGTGCTTTTGATCATGTCTTTTATGTTGAATTATGGATGGCCGCTCTAACTGGATTAGCAGAAGAATATATCGATTATTCGGGTTCAGGAGGTCATGCCCTTTTATGGAAAAGTTTTGTTCTAGTTAAGGTAATTTTGTTTAATTATCGTTTATTATTTAATCATTTCAAATGGTTTAATATTAATCTAATAATTCATGCTAGCTCCCTGCATTAATTGAAAAGCTGGAAGCAAGAAAATCATCAAAACTTGGTGAAAATGAAGATATTAAAGTATATTTTCTATTTGTAAAAAATTCGAATTTAACAATCATGATATGCTATTGACATTAATTTTTAATTATTACAGCACGGGCGTCATGAATGTGTGATTAATCAATTGTCCGGGTTTCGAGGATTGTTTAATGCATGTAATCAGCATTTGGAAGGGGCAATTGAAGATATCTTTCAGTGAGCCTTTTGTCAATACTATATTAGTATTAATTTTGATAATTAGTAACAATGATATATATATGCGTTATTTTTTTATTCCCTAGGGTTGCTGATATGTCGGTTGATATCTTGAAAGCGTGCTTTAAAAGGAATCTTTTAAGGCGAGAGTTTGTATTACGACAATTGGAACTTGAATGGAGTGGATCAGATTCTATGGTATTTCATTGATAAGATTTTCAACGTTGTTTTGAAAGTTTGTTAGTATTGACATTACTATAACAGTATTATGTCACTAGGAAACCGATTCGTATGCCGGCAGCATTTTAGACGATCCTAATAACGAGATGATAGAAAAATTCGTGTCAGTGATTCCTAAACGTTTTTTGGATCAGGAATCAAGAATAGAAACGATATTAAGGGTAAATATTCACACTATATTATACTTACTTACTTTCAATAAATAAATATTTGAAATATTCTAAATTTTTATTATTCATATTTACTTATTAAGCTAATAACAGAGTGGAGTAATAATCGAAATTTACGACATTTGTCAATATTATGTCGTCTTCTTAGTGAGAATTCTGCTCTCCTCGATATTATTCATCTATACCACCATCCTTCTGAAATTTTACAACCTTTGGAACAATTATGTAATACATGGGAAAAACCCAATGATGATAATTTTGGTAAGATTTCATATTATTCTTATTATTATTAAATGCCCAAGGTAGAAATATAACTGAATATAATAATACATAATATTTGATGATCTTATGGTAGAATCTTATCTTCAGGATTGTGAAAGTTTTGGTACCATATTTTTATTTTTAGTCAATATAATTGATAGATATGAGGTAAAAGAACAGTATTTTTATCCCATAATCAGATAATTTGTATTGCATTTTTTTATTAAAACTCTATTATTTCTTTTTTCAAGTTATATAAGAACCTTAAAGATATACTACGTGATGAAAAAGGTTTTTGTCATATGTGGATTCTCCAATCATCAGTTGTATATGAAAAAGGATCCCTTAATACGGAAAAGGCTGCTATGGTTGATTGTTGGGTTAATGTGATGTCTGTAATTGAAGATATTCCTAAAGAACTTATAATGTATATTGTATATCCATTATTATTGTAATTATTTAAATTAATGACATGACCTTACTCAAATTTGTTACATGATTTTTTTATTCAGGGCGACAAATCCTCGAATTTTAATAGAGTTGGCGCCAACAATATTTAAACAAGCACTTGCTGGAATCGACAAAGATTCCGAGAGTGCTACTGCGGTAACATTTGAAACACTATTGACGAATTTTGAATTTTTTTTGAAACCTCATTCATCATATGCATTAGTTGGAGCTATTCAGTGGTTATGCGATGATGTTTTCTTTAAAGGGTAAATTTGATTTGTTCAAGTTTATATTTATCGTATTTTCGCGTAATAACGCTCATGAGCGTTATTTCAAAAATTACATTCCCTAAAATAATATATATAGTTTCAAAATAACGTTCATGTGCGTCCCAAAATAGCGCGCACCCCATAGTAAAGGATGTTTATTTATAGTAAGATTTAAAAATACTTCAGAACTGGATTTAGTACTAAGTAAACCTTTGGATCAAGTTTAGTATAAAGGACCCCACAAATAAAATTAATTATTAATCAATTGAATTTAGAATAGGGTCCCTTATATTAAACTTGATCAAAACCTTCGAACTTCAACAAAAATTGTTTTTCAGAACAATTTTTGTTAAAGCTCGAAGGAAGGTTACTTAATACTAAATCTAGTATTTTTGTTTGTTTACTTTTTATGCAAGAATTACATAAAATTTTTTATTGTCTCAAAATAACGCTCATGCGCGTACTCGAAATAACGCGCAGGTGAGCGGTATTACGCGAAAATACGGTATATTATTGTTTATATCTAATGTAATTATATCTAATATAATTATATCTAACATAATTATATCTAATATAAATTATTAGCCAGAACACAATATCATCAAAGGTCCTTAAATTTTTGATATCATCAAAAGATTTTCCTGTCTCAGTTGCGCGATTAGTAGCAAATAAAGTAATGAATATTTTAGATAATTCAGCAGGTAGTTTACCATCTATAGAGGATACCGAGACTGATATCAAGTTAAAACTTGCCGCTACACGTAATGAACCAGGTATTACTATAAACAAATAATTATTGTCGCGGCTGAAGCTGAAAATGACTGAAGCTGGAAATTAGGGACCTCGATTTAAAAATATAAACCTTATCAAAATCCACTTAAACTCTTTTATTACAAAAATTAAACCTAACTATCGCTATTAAGAAAAGTTAAAAAAAAAAATGCACCCAAAAATTTTTGAAAATTTCATATTAAAATATTTAAACTTCCAGCTTCAGCCATGACAATTATTTTCAATATACTGCATTTTCAATGACTAACATATACCTCAAAAATATGAATTCAGTATTATCATCCTCAAAACATCCATATGAGACGCTTTTTTCGCGATTTTGGATAATGTTTAAATCTATTGTTTATGGTGGACGTCAACTAAAATCAACACCTAACAATATGAATATTGAATATGATATTGAATCTCCTCAGATGGACTTATCTTTAGATCTGTCATGGCGGGGATCACATCATTTAGATATTAGCTTGTTTCGATCATGTTTAGAAATTCATGGGCCGAAGATCTTTGTTGACTTAATTGTAGAGGTTGATTAATTTTTTTTTTGCGTTTGTCATTTTCTTTTATGATAGCTGTTTTTTTATCTAATAAATTAATGAATTCAAATGGTTGTTAGGATGTACTTGCTATTAGCAAAAAAGGAGTTGGCTACCGAGCTGGTAAATTATTAATATTATTATTATCTAATTACTTTAACGGTTTGCGATATTAATACAATTTTTTTTAGCCGAACTTGGTGCCTCATTACTTACAATCCCTTTATGTTACACGTGGAACGCACATCTTCATCCAAACAATCTCATTTACATATTATTTTCGGATGCGCTTGTTCGCGCACTTGACAGAAAGGTTGCTTCGTATGTACAAGGTCAAGCTTTAGGAATATTGACTTTAATAGTGTTAATTACTTGGAACATTCAGTTTAATATTTCTACTAAAATTGGTGGGAAGGGTATCTATGAAATTTTTATTGAACATGTATTACCAAAATTCCAAAATCAAAAAAATGATAGTGAAAATGATATAAATCAACATAAAGAGACGTGGAGTAAACTTATGTATGGACCTACAAGAGGGTTTATTGATAGTTTGATTTCTAATAATGACCTTATTGAA